GAAGAGGAGGGGTAAAGTATCCATGCTTGGCCAGAGTTGGCTGTGAACTGCTTAAACCTACCATAAAACATTACTATTATAAGTATGAATTTTCCAATGGGACTCCATCGTCCCGCGAACCCGTAACCTGCGTCTTTGCAGCCAACGTCACTGACGTCGAGTCGCCGTTTGCAGCTGTATCCAGTTGTGAACCCAACGTTTCCATATGCACTGCCGTTACAATATATTAGTTTGTTGTTTCAGTTATAAGTATAATTCTCATAGAAGGAAATAAGCTTGAATATTAGTATGAAAATATATTTCACAAGGATGTGAATCTTCTATAATTTATATAGTATAGACCAAAATGTATGGTGTTAAACGTAATCACGGATAGTTTCAGGCCGCTCTAACAATTTTGGATGTCTTATCCAAAAACAAATGTTTGTATTTTCAAAAAAAATTTGATTAATATAGAAAGAGGCCATAAATGTTTTCAAAAACTTTGTCGTTGTTTCTAATTTCTCATGTATATTATAAAAAATTATAACTTTTATGTTTAAATATTATAAACCCGCGTTTGACGCTGGACAAAAATCTAGTTTTTAATTAACTTGATGAAAATATCAATATTATATTCAAGGTGAAAATTTCTCAAAACTGGACCTATAATATCCAAAACTTACTATATTGTAGTCGGATATAAATTTTCTCTCTCTTGATTATATAAGAAGGTCACTCACTAACTCTAACTCGCTTGGAATTTTTTAATCTTTTTCGTGATCTATACAAGAATCATGCATCTATATATGTAATGTAACATAGAAATATATGTTATTTTCAAAAAAAAAAAAAGAGATATAGATATAAACAAAATATACCTGGCAACTTCGAGAGTGATGTTAAGGACGTTGAAATTGAGTGGATCTCGTCCTAGTTTTTGTCTTTCGGTGATGGAAATGAGAAAGACACATATCGCTAAAAAGGAAAGTTGTGACACAAAGAGCCCACTCTTCTGTCTTTTCTTTCCATTTTCGGAATAATCATCTCCCTCTTTCTTATCCTTTTCTTCGGTCAACGGCATAAGCAATGTGTATGGAGGAAGATACCTTGTCCATGCAATTATATTTACTTATTAATCCCTAAAAGTATATATGTTTTTAACAAAAGAAATAATGCTTTGTGAATATATTGATGAGTTGGAGGCTAGGACATTCTCCACTACCTTGAAGGGACATATATTTTACCTATTGAATCTAAAACCATGGATATATTCTGATTCACTCCATCAAATATTGTCTACCACATTCTCGTGTAAGTTCTTTTTCGGTAATATTATATTACAAATATTTTTCGTTTTTTGTTTACAAAAAAAAAAAAAAATTCAGATCAAAGACTCAACCTCTTAAAGGGATCACTGTAACCAAGCGAGCTACGGCGTTTGGTATATTACAAATATTCTAGGTAGAAACATCCTCAACCTTAACATTTTACTTAATTTTTACTTTAGGTGGTGGAAAACTTTTATAAAGATTTAGAGTAAACAATAATTGTTAGGAAATTGTTTTCTTCATATATAATGTTAATTAGGTAAGTCGACCAACTAGTTTGATGTTTCTGTAGTGAAAAGTCGACCAACTTTCATGTACGTATTAAAACAAACAAAAAAACATCTAATATACATTGGATTGTATTAAAGCAATACTAAATCAAAATTTATAGCTACAAAAATCGGTAAACGGCCTATATATATGTCCGCATATATATATCTATATGAAACTTCACCTATGTTATGCATGCATATACATGCGTATGTCAAACTCCACAGGTGTGGAAGTAGGTCAAAATCAGTGTTTTCGACCGGATTGGGTCATTTAGTGACTCAAGTAAGATCCCAATATTTTTAGTCCATTCGAATGCATGGAGATATGAGACAATATGAGAAGAGAGAGAATTGAAGCAACTCACATCATGAGGATGAAGAGCATCAAGATAGCTGGGGAAAGTGTAGAAAGGTCGAGAATAGTTTCTCCGGCGTGTCTCGAGTTGGCCACTTGAAACAACGACCCAACAAACTTCTCGTACCGACTCATTCCTTCAAGAGATTCGGAGCTCCACTGAAAGACGACGAAGAGAAGAAGCTGCATCATTAGAAACCCTAACACCGTCAATCCAAGATGAACACAAAGACGAACGGAGAGTAGATGAGAGTATCCCATCTTCTTGTTGTTCTTTCGAATGTAACCAAATTCTTCACGCTTTGTGATCTTATCAAGTCCCCATATGAGTAACTGTAAGAAGCAAGGGAACAAAGTGTTTCCCATCAGTATTTGAGGGATAAGGAGCCAGAGAAGGCCCGGGTTCTTGCGGAAGATGATCATATTCTCATTCGTGGGGACAAATCCGCAGTTTGCGACGGTGGAGATAGTTGTGAAGACGGAGAAGGTGAAAGGTGCGATTTTCTTGGAACTAAGAACATTTCTTGCCGTTTTAACAAAGGTTACGTACAGAAGAAGCAACACCGAGCCAACTAAGTTTATTACGAGATGGTAACCAAGAACCACCAAGTACAAGCATTTAGAAGCCCTTTCATGGATCTGGATAGGACCCTCGCGATGCTCATTTACATTCTCAAGGTCACTACGAGGTTTTTCCATCGTACGGTCCAATATGAAAGATTCCATAAGGTATCTAATCTTGTTATGAGGAAAGACGAAGTTGGAGAAATGGGAAAAGTAGAGGCTGAGAAAGGACGTGAAGATCTCGCCGCCGAGGAACATGAGGATAGTGAGGATGATGAGTTGAGTATTGGAGAAGACTTCCATGTCGACGGTGGACATGGAAGAGACGGTGATGGCGGAGACAGAAGTGAAGAAGAGGTCCAAGTCATGAGGACGTGAAGTGGTTCTTGGCTTCGAGATTTTGAGTGCTAAAAACCCTAGAAATGAGAAGGACATGAAGTAGATGAAGTAGAGAAATAAAGGGGAACGAGACTTGGCAAGTTGCGAACGGAATTTAGCTAGTTTTGACTTCACTGTTTCCATTATTTTGTTGGGTTAGTCCTAAGCATTATGACTAGCCAAAGCGTGTTATATACTACACGCATATCAGCACATGAACACTATATTATCATGACAGTACTTTTTAGTTAAAGTCAATATTTATAAAAAACAAAAACTAATTTTTCAAAGATTTTTTTTTTTCGACTCAAAAGGTTATTGAGAAATGAGAAGAGGAATAAGATATAGTCAGATACCGTGTACGAAAGAAGTAATTGTTGATTTTTAAAAATATACGAAAAAAACTATTTGTTCTAATTACTAAAATGACTTTGGAAAGTAGGGTAATTACTAGAATGATTTTGTCAAATCTAGTAATTTGACACAACTCGATAAAAGACAAATAAACTTTAATAATATATTTTATTTACGCAACTGGCATCCTAAAACCTAAAAAAAAAAAAACTTATAAATCTACCATAACTACCCAATAAGTCTACCACCACATGTATACGTTGGAAATTCTTTAAACCAATAAATAAAATATTTGTTTGAAACCACCGTCGCGGAGGCTGCGGAAGCACCGGATCGTGCTCGGCGAAGGTGGG